TGGGCACGAAACCATACGCTCGACGTAACAGACCAGATGTAGCGTGCGACAAACCAGGTCGCTCCACGCGCGACCATAAGTTAAGTTTGAAACAAAATAGCAGTCGCCTCCCCGACGTCCGAATAACTCGACGAGACCTTCTCCAAGCCGCTTAAGCAAACCGACAACGCGGTCACTCTCCAATATGTCGACCCAAGGTATGAACATGGCGAGCAACATCATAAAACCTACGGCCAGAGCCATGAACATACCGGGCACGATCATGAATCAGGCGCCCTGGATCATGAAGACCCCAGGCAGCGCTGCAGATTGTAACCTAAACTATGTATCTACCGCCGCGAGCATGTGTTTGTCGGTCCTAAGCATGAATTTGTCGAGCTAAACATGAATATACCGGGCTAGTCCCACGCGCACAGTCCCTAAAACGTCTACAACAGTGAAAATCATGCATCACAACAGGAAAACGAAGAAGATAAGTCACTTACTTGCAATCAAGGAGTGAGTTCTGCAACGGAGGAAAGGAATCTGTGACGGGAATCGCAGCTATGCTATGAAAATCTGGAAGAACAGCAGCAGTAGGAGCGCAAAGAGTAGTAACGCATTATGGGGCCCAAGGATCCTATTTATAGTGATGACGTGGAATACCAAACGTCACCTCGGGCAACCATGGAGTTTCTCTCCTCGACGCACGGCTCCCAAGGCAATGATGACCCTATCATCATAGGGTGGCAGCACAGTTCCCGAAAGATACCCCGTGTGCTCGACAGACGCGCGCCGGTGAGGATTCCCCGAGCATCCACCGCGAAGGATTTATCTTCGAGCACGACACGGAGAAGCCCTCGAGGAGCTACATCTTTGACCCGGGCGCGAGACCCTGAAACGGAAACAACCTGAAATCAAGCCATGGCTCCTAACCCAAGGAACCACGACTTGGGGGGCTCCTGTTCTGGACTGGGCCCGACAGGCCCAATAGCATTGATAAGGCCCAATCCAAACGGACTTGCTGAGGGCCACGCCGACCAAAGGGTCACAGTCGTGCCCGACGTGCTCCCTGAGGTTACTTGCTCGACATCCAACTGTCCAGCTCGACATCCTGCTGTCCAGCTCGACATCACCTCGAGCACCCCGACTAGGGCAGACTCAGTCCACTGCACTCCCAACGAGACCCCGAAAAGACCGCGTCTCTGTCCGCCCGCACTTCACGCAGAACATCCAGGGAGGGGACCATGTGCGGGTCCCCACTACGCACGTAGAACCTGGCAGTTCCTCCATTGGGCCAAACCTGCCCGGCCCAATGAAGGAACCTTGGCCCAGCGCTGGGGGCTATAAATACCCTCTGTTTCCAGAGGGTCAGGTATTCATCATTCTACCCATACTTACTATTGCCTGCTCGTGCTCTTACTTACTTCAACATCGGAGTGTCTTGCAGGTACCCCCCCCCCCCCACCTCGTTCAAAACTTTCAGCTCGGAGCCAGCCGTGACGGTCCAAGTCTGATCAGGTTAGATCATTTATCAATGTTAAGCCTGATGTGTACTTTTCCAGTTGGCAAAATGTGAGTGTCTTGCACGAAATCTTTATATGGATGTGATATTTGTCAAGGTGGAGATTGTTGAATATGACTCATGTTATGGAGATTATTATGAATATTGTTGAGTATGACTTATATTATGGAGATTATTATAGATATTGTTGAATATGACTCATATTGTAGATATTAGTATGGATAGGTAACTAGGGGTTGTGGGAGCTTCAGAGCTTTTATTGTAAACGATGACATAATATTATATATATTGCTTCTAACATTATAACCCTAATTCATTAAACAAAATAAAGGTAAGTGTAACTGCTCTATAATAACAGAAGTACCATTGATCAAATTGCATTAATTAAAGTTGATTGTATTTATTGTCTTTTACTTTTATTTTTTAAAATTATTTTTAAGTTTAATCACAACTTTAGTTCCTTTATTTAGTCTTTTTCTTAATTTTGATTCTCCATTTTAAAAACTACTATTTTAGTCCATTTTAAAAATTTATATTATATTTGATTTATTTATTAAATTAATTTCAGTTTATTCAAAATATATATTTATATATAAAAAACGTGTGTAAAATTAACAATAGAATATGCATAGCTTGATGGTCAGAGTGTTTGTAATGGGAGGGGAAGATCGCAAGTTTCAGTCTCATGTCAAACATATATTTTGAAGAATTTTGTTTTTAAATTTTAACATTTAATATCAAAATAATAAAGGCTAATTATATGAAATAAAAAAAATTATATTAAAGTTAAAATGACGTGACATTAACACATAAACAAAAATATTACCACGTCATACACAAATACAACTAAATTTAAAAAGAGACAAAAATTAAATAAAAAACTTTAAAAATAAACTAAAATAATAATTTTTAAAATGGAAAATCAAAATAAAATAAATAAAACTAAATAAAAAGACTAAAATTGTAATTAAACTTTATTTTTAAATATTAGTTTGGAGGATTAAAAAAAAAAAAGTAAGAATCTCACATCAATCTTTAACATGGCTAAAGTATGAGAGAAAAAATCTTTGAAGAATCTATATGAATTTTAAGGATGTTTGATCACATGATTGCAGAAAATGACTTGGTAAATGCTATTTAAACCTTTATAAGAATTGTTCGGTGGATAATCGAAATTGCTATAAAAAAAGGATGAAAATCTACAAAAAAAAAAAAAAAATTATACAAATTATAACAAATAAATTAATTCCATAAAACAGAAAATACCTGATGCAATAAAATCGAGAAAAAAAATATTAATAGTGTAGATTATTTTTGAACTGTAACAATCATATATTTAATTAAAATATATTTTTATTTTTAAAATACTAAATAACATGATAATTATAAATTTTTTGATTAATTGTATGTACAATATTGATTTATACTGAAAATGCATTATCATTAAACTTTAAAATTAAATGACTCAATTACGTATCTCAATCCGTGGCATTCTTAAGTGAGTAACATTTGCAATAATTATTTTATTAATTAATTGTAAATTATGAAATTAATCTTATAATTATTTTTGTTGTTGATAAATTTATCATTATAAGTAGTATTATTATTACTTTAAGTATATCTTTGATTATTCCTATATTTAATTTTTTTCCTAAAATAATTTTTTTTTGAAAAATCCAAAATAAAATATATATTAACTTTTTCCTAAAATAATTAATATTTTAAAAATTAAATATACAAAATTTGACCGTTGTTTTCTAACTTTTAGATGATTTGTTTTTTAAAAATTGATTATAATGAAGTATTTACATTATTTACATTTTAAAAAAGTAAAACAGTTATATTAAAAATTAATGATATGTTAATACAAATCAATTAATTAATTATTTTTTAATAGATGTCAAAAAAAATCTTAAGTTAACAAATTAAATAATATAGTTTGTTTTGTAGTAACCCTCTTTTACCACAAAAATTAGCTTCAAAATTTGAAGTTTGACTATAAGATACACAAAATATGATAAAGAATTATTCAAGTACATATTCAAATTCATCTTTTAAGAAATAAAGCTACTACTATTATTATGAAAAAGATACTTTTTTTGACTTTTGACTATAATAAAATTCCGGTCTCCATTTTAATTTATGTTCTTGTTTTTACAATTTAAAAAAAAAAAAGTCTATTTCAAAAAAAGTTAATCACCACCTTTTCGTTTAAATAAAAATTAAATATTTTCTGCACACAACTCTAAAAATTAATTTCTCGAATGGTAAAGTATCACAATAATAATAAAATCCTTTATACTATTACGTTTTCAAAATTAAATTCAAATTCAAAATTTCTAATTAAATTATAAAAAAATTTACTATTTAATTTTGAATTTTAATCTCCACTCATTGATTAAGCGTTTCTCTAACAAGTCACCCTTTTAAATGAGATAAATTGAATATCATTATTAAAATTTAAACTCTAAATTTCAAAAAATAAATATAACTTTTTAATTAAATATTATAATTTTGTCTATAAATAAATAATAATAATAATAAAATATTAATTTTTTGATTTAAAGGAGAGCTCCAAATCTAAGCATATATTATATAGATGGAATTTATTGAGTAATATATGGAAATTTATAGAGATATTTTGACCAAGAGATTCCAACAGATACATCAAATTTTGTATATAAGCATACTGAATGAGCATATACATTTCATTTTCATTTTCTCCTGTTTTCATACATTTAAATACAAAATTTTAATTAACTATAAGCACCATTAATAATACTAATCTCCACTCACACAAATCACACCTCTAGAATTTGAAACCCCCTCCTCAGTCAAACATTGAATCTTAGTAACTCTTCAGTTACTCACTCACTGTAGCTGAGTTGTTTTTAGTACTGTTCTATTGATGTCTATGTCAACTACACGTGTCACAACATAATTGCTTCAACCTTCTCCTATAAAACTAACAAAATCAAAACCGAACATAACTCGTTGCATTTGCTTCAACTTTTTAAGGTCAGTGTCGCTTTGTTTTTCTTTTTCAATTCAAAATGTGCATTGCAGAGTTTGTATCTTTTTCAATTCTTCTTCATTTTTCTACCACTTGCTCAAGTTTTTATCAACTGGGTTAACGAAAAGTTCTCTTTTTTTTAAAGTTTTTTTTTTTTTTGTCTTTGTGCTAACGTTGTTAACAACGAAGAGGCCATGTCAGAGGATAAGTCGGCGCTTGCATCAAAATTTCATATTTTTTTGGTGTTTTTCATTCTTATTTATTACTTCATTTATTTATTTATTTAAAATTTTGACTGACTTTTAATTTATAGAAAAATAAATTTTGCTACTAGGATGTGCTAACTTTTAGTCCTTATCTTAACGGTGATTCCGCAATTTTGTTTCAGAATTCAATGTTTTTTCTTTCTTGTCTTATGTTATGTTTTTTTCTTTCATATTTAGGTTTTTATGCTGTTGGTGATATCTAAGTAAGAAAACAGTGATGGCTGAAATTACTATGAAAAATCAACCGTCAAAGCCACACTGGTGGTGGCTTGATGAGCACACCTCCGTTAGAAGATCACCATGGCTTCAATCTACACTCAATGGTATGGTTTCCATCTCTGTAGGACACCAGACAGTTGTGATTACGTTTAATTTATTACCAGGGTCATTGTGATGTTTGGATGTGTGTGCTTAATAGGTTTTCATTTCTTTTCCTTCCTCTTATTCAATGGATTCTCTGTTTAAAGTACATTTTGTTGAAGAATTAGGCAAATGAAATTGAGTAATTTACTAGGTTGGTTTTTTGTTTTTTGTTTTCAAATGCATGGAATTTTGGACATGTGAAATGAATGGTTGATGGCTTGCTAGAAATGTATTCGATGATGTTTTGGTTGGTGGTGTTTAACTAACTCTTATAATAAGAGCACGCCATATGAATGACCAACTTTCACCAATCAATCTTTTTTTTCTTCCATGTGGTATTTCTTTGTTGCTTATTAGTTTGAATTATGGTTAGAAGAAGTGTTTATGTTTATTGTTCGACAGTGTCTCGAATAGGATTAGTTTGAGTTCGACCGTGATTCAAATAGGATTAGTTTCGGTGTGAAGGGCGAAACAACTAAAGTGTAAATATGGAACATGAAGATTATTAAGTGATATGTGTTTGTTTGTTTGTGGTAGAGTTGAATGAGAAGACGAAGACAATGTTGAAGTTGATTGAGGAAGATGCGGATTCGTTTGCTCAACGAGCTGAGATGTTTTACAAGAAGAGACCCGAGCTTGTGAGCATGGTTGAAGATTTCTACAAGATTCACCGTTTGTTAGCTGAGCGGTATGATCAAGTTCGGCCTGAAGCTGGAATTCGCCTGCTTCCCCCTTCTGCTTGCTTGAAGCATTCTCAATCGGTGAAGTTGACGAGTTTTGATTATCGTTGTTATGATAGCTATTCTGAGAATTGTGACGCGGAGGAATCTGTGGAATCGGAAATTGATGATCCTGAGCTAGAAGGGGAAATTCGGTCTGTGGCTCCAAATGAAGTGACGAAGTTGATGAAAGACATTGAAAGGACTGATAAGGATCAAATCAAGCAGAAAGATGAGATTCTTGATGAAGTAATGATGTTGAGGGAAGAAATCGAACGACTCGGAAAAGAAAATGAAGCACATAAGGATGAACTCGCGCAGAAAGATACTGTTTTTAATGAAGTAGTAATGAATTTGAGGGAAGAAATAGAACAACTCAAGAAAGATAACAAAACAATGAAGGATGGAGTTCATCAGAAAAATACCATTCATGGTGAAGTAATGAAGTTGAGGGAAGAAATAGAACGACTCAGAAAAGAGAATGAAGCTCAAAAGAAAGATAATAAAACAATGAAGGATGAAGTTCATCACAAATACACCATTCGCGGCGAAGTAATGAAGTTGAAGGAAGAAATAGAGCGACTCAGAAAAGAGAATGACGCTCAAAAGGAAGAACTCAAAAAGAAAGATACTAATAGCAATCAAGTAATGATGTTGAGGGAAGAAATAGTGCGACTCAGAAAAGAGAATGAAGCTCAAAAGGAAGAACTCGAGAAGAAAGATATCATTTGCAACCAAGTAATGAAACTGCGGAAAGAATTAGAAAGACACAAGGAAGATAAAAAAGCTCAAAACAATGAACTCAAGCATAAAGCCACAATGTTGAAGGAAGAGAGGGAAAGTTTTCGAGAAGAGAATATGACGCACAAGGATGATCTCGAGCGGAAAGACAGAGAGAAGATAGAAGTGATAAGACAACTGAGTTCAACAATAGATTTGCTGAAGCAGGAGAACGTAAAGATGAAAAACTTCATAGCTAAGGAATCCAAGAAATGGAAGACACCGTTCGAGTTCAATAAACTAATCGAAACATTCTCAGGGAAGTTGTTTAAAGGAGGTCCTAGAAGGAATAAGCCAAGTGTTATAGCTCTCTAGATATGGTTCAAAAATTAAAAATACTATATGGAGTAGTTTTTAAAACAATAGTATAATGATAATTAAATAGATACATTAGAGCCTTATCAGTGTTTCCTTAGAAATCAATACAAATTTTTCTGTCTCAAATTCTTATGTACTTTCTTGAAAAAGCATTTTTACAACATTTTTACAATATTCCATTTGTCTCATCTCTACTTTTCATGCCTTAAAAGTTTAATTTCCCTTATATCTTAATGCAAAGTGCACAAAAAGAAGCATAGTCATTAAAAGCTTCTTTTTTGTGACATAAGAAAGCATTCATTGTTCAATTGATTGCTAAAGACAATGGTCTTTTATAAATAAATACTGTTTTGTCCCTGCATTCCTAAAATCTATGGTATATTCCTCATTTTAAAGTGATTTAAAAACAATGCATAATTCATTATACTAAAAAAAGTAACATGCACTGAAAAAGTTAGAGTAAAGTTTGTACACCTCATGAGTTTCTATCAAACTGATATCACAGAACAATGACAAAAAATTCTCTTCATTTATTCTCTTCATTAGGCAGATACTTGAAATGTTCACTAGCTAGTCTTAGATTTTTGGAATAATAATAATACATGCTTTCGGAACATAAGCAGAAATAAACATCGAGGCAAACTCACATGCCATGAAGGTGAATTATGCAAATTAAGATTACAGCAAGGTGTGAAATTGAAAATATTGGAAGAGATGCACCCTGAGAAGAAGGAGCCAAAGCTGGCGATATAGACTCGGACTCGGACGGTGGAAAAGCTGAACCAGGCCCTTGATGAGCTGAGATGTCTGGATTTGGAGGGCTAGGAGTTGAAGGAATGGTTGGCAATGAAGAATCGGATGGAGAAAAAGCAGCTCCTCCGGGAGAAGGAAACAGTGGCTCCATATCTGGTGAAAGTGTAGGAGAAAAGAGAGGAGTTTCTGGTAATATTATAGTTGGTGCTGCTGAGATTGCAGAAACATACATTATTTTTGCAGAAGCCAATGAACAATTGCATGTTATTGTTAAGGCTATGATGAATATTGCTGAGAATGACCAAAAGGAAGCCATAAATGATGATGCCTTAAAATCAACTGCTTAATGAGTGTGTTTGAGAGAGAAAAATGTGTTTTTGGAGAGAGTTATGACTCTTATGAGAATAATGGAACTTAAAAAGGTGTATAAGAAGTGGTGGTGGGCTCATAACTTTTATAATTGGAACCTTTTTCTTTATCTCACAGCTTGCATATAAAACTTTGTAATGCTACAAGACAAAGTTGATCAGTAGTTTTGCCTTGTGGAGCACATGAATCTGAGGTATCTTTAGCATAAAAGTAAATATTAAGAAAAAAAAACATTGGAATTGAGGAGAATATGCAAATTTTTACTAAAAATTTTCATGTAAACTTTTCTATCTTTATCTCTTGTCTATTCTCTAGAGGCCTCTAAATTGAGCTCCACTTTCATTGAGTACACATGGTAGGTCCTGTCCTGAGGCTGTGAAAATGTAATAATAATGTTATGGAAGAATAGAGAAATTCTTAGGAATGAAGTAAGTAAACTATGTTTAGTGGATTATAACTTAGTCTAATTTTCAAATTATACAAGGCTATTTATTTGAGTGGTGTGATTTGCACATAATGAATCATTGTGAATTTAGAATTTAAGATTGAAACTTGAATATTAAGTGAGTGGTTAGTTTGAACTTTAGATGGAAAATGTTTAATGCATAGCAAAAGGGTAATTACATAGTAAAAAGAGTATAGGGGAATCTTAAGGTACTCTGTTTTTTTGTTGTTCTTCTCTGATGATGCATGCATTACTTGATTAAATTGGTGGGTTCATGGATGTGTTTATATTGATATTGTAGGACTACTATGTGATTAGACATATATATATATATTTTAACATTAGTGTACAGAATGTTTAATATTGATATTTTATATTAATAATATTCCTTTCGGATGTTATATTTATCAACTATTTAACTGTTATATTTTTTTTATTAACTTAAATATTTTAATTGTTACCTATTATTATTTTATTTTATTAACTTAATGTTTGAATTTTTTTATATTTTTAATATTTTATAAAAATAAGTTATATTTTTAAGAATGTCCACACGATTGAATTAAATCAAATTAAGTTGTTCTTCAATGAATGTAGTTTGAGTATTCTGGAAAAGATATTTATTAACTAAGATTTTTTTTTAAATAGACAAATTCTACATTGTGTTTATAGTAAAAGTTACACTGCTAAAAATGTGGAAAATTTGGACACAAAAATTAAAAGAAATAAAAATGAATAAATTGGCAAACTTACTGCTCCCTAAAAAAATGTGTTGCGTCCTATACAAAAGAAAAGAGTGATGCTTTGTGTAAAATTCACAGTGAACACGTCAGCGTAACTCCTTAAACTCCACATCTGGTTAAGGTTAAGGGTTCGCGATTCAGTTTAGATTAATTTTAAGATAAAAATTTATCTCATCAAAAAAAAAAATTATTTGCAGTTCGATTTAATTTTAGATGATTGATTAAAAAAATTCGATTCGATCTGATTTAATTTTATGCGGATTTAATTTCATGCGGATTTAATTTCATCATCATTACAATTACTTTTCATCATCATAACAATAAACTCAGGAAATATACTGCAAAATGTAACTTGTAAGAGTCACTCCTATGTGCATTATTATTTCCCCATAAATACTGAATGTTTAATTGAAATTTGAGAGGCCAAATCTGAAGAGATCTTCTCGGCTTGTGCGAAAAGAATAAAAATACAAGGAAGAAAAAGCCATAAGCTCTTGCCTATAGTCCCATCCCTTCCCTAAAACAATTTAATGAAGAAGAGAGAATAAATTTGTGCCTCTAGAATCTCCACATTGTAGCACAAAACCATTCGCGTGGTCACATCAAGGTTGTTCCTCATAATGTTGCTGCACTTTTGCTGCCCAAAATTGTGACCATATGCTTCAAATATGGCCTCCAGAGAATTTCGCTATAACGTGACATCTAAGGATGAAAATTAACTATGCCCAAAACAATCCATCATGGCCAACTTCAAAATTTGAAACCGGGCTATCACCAAAATCTTGTTCTGCTGGTTGCTCGCCTTCTACTTCAACTAAATCCACATACGGTTTCAAGAGATCAGAAGATCTTTCAGATTGGATACCGTAGTCTCTCAGCAAGGATGATGAAGCCGCAATAACAGCTTCTCTCTCCAAAACAGCAGCATAGCTATCTTCAAATTCAAAACACAGATATTTCTCCTTGCATGCTGAGAAGGAGCAAAGCAATGGAACAATCACGAGTCATCTTGCTAACGAAAATGAATGCAAAATAGATTATTAAAGCAATAACTTACAATCAATGAGATGTGCAAGATGGTGAATGTTTTTAATTCGAACTCCGTTGAATTTTATAACCTGAAAAAGTATCATTTAAGAGAAACATACATGAAGTAGGGAGCCAGTGGGAGGGAGTCGATCTCAAAAACGGAAATGACTTACCTGCTGATTGTTCATATCTTCGTAACCTATGTTGAGTTCATTTGCCAAGACCTATCAATAATTTCATCAATTATATTCATTTTTTTAACATTAAAAGAGATAAAATATAAGCAAAGATGAATGGTTGGTTACATAAGTTAAGATAGTATTAAAAATTCAATAACTAGAGAGAAAATTGTGGTAACCACATTGTAAACAAATGGACAAATCTAACCTGTGAAAGAATTACAATCTGTTCCCCTTTAAACCTGGCAAATGAATAGCGTGCCTTTGCCAATAACTTCAACTGACCAAGAAAAAGGAAATTGAATCACAAACTCATTGTTTTCCAGCTTTGTGCTTTAAGGCTAACCCACAAATTTTGAACTTACCCCTATACAGTCTTCACGTTCCTCCCTGTCAAAAGTTTCATAAAGAACGAAAATAAATACTAATTCATAAAAAGGCCCCCACCCAGAAAAGAAAACCGAACCATCATATATAAAGGATAAATACAACATACTCAATCAATGCCTCTGACAGGGGTGTGAACACCAAACCGGCAATTATTAAGTAGGAAGGCTGACCTTCATCAGCGTGATAGGGAACCTTGAAGAGAAAAAAACAGCATTGCAAACACAAAGAGCATCAGATGAAAAGAATCATGGAACTGATTGGTACAAATTTCTATGACATATCACATACCAAATGAACTCGTGGATTTAAAATAACTTTAGCTTTAATTGAGTTTCCAGCTCTGATGATACCGAGTTCTGCAGTATCGCCTGCAAATCTGTATAATATTGTTAAGCATGTCAACCTTCATCGGTACAAAAAAGAAAATTTCAAATGCTCTGATCCTTACTTTGTGATATTCTCAAATAGGACATCATAAATCATAATCATAATAAGCTACAAAGTAAACACATGAGTATGTGCAGTATAAAATGCATTGCATAATACTGAAGGAACCAATAGTGATGTATTATTATATACTTAGTATCCACACAATTTCATGAAGCAACTACGTTACTACCATAAAGCAAAAGCATGGGATTAGCAAGAAAGCAACACGTTAACATTACAAAGTTGAAATCTCACTGTTATAGCTTTCATTCGAAGATGCTATGAATCAAATGCAGAATTTAGTGCGACAAACTGTAAATCAAGTGCAGATTTTGATATCTTTAATTTCAGAGAAAGAAGCTCTTACTTTTGACTAATGAGGTAATGGAAGGCAATTCTCTCATTTGAGCGGAATGGAACTGTTCCTTCACATCCAACACGTATACCATCAAAGCTGACAATCACATCACCCTGTAATGGCAAGGTTTATCTAAAATGTTAATGCATGATCCAACACGTACAACAAGTTCCTCAGAATTCACATTCAACTATCACTACACCTCTTTTAATACGTTATTTGCATCGGAAGTTGGTTCAACTCTACGTACAAATACACCCTGCACAAGACAGAAAGGATGCAATATCAAAATCCATGCTATAAAATCAACTATTGTTCAAGTCGTAAGGTTTAAGTAAGGGTGGAGGACAAGAAAAAAAATATTCAAAATAATAAAACTTCACTGATATAGCGTATCATGATGAGACGGAAAATCAATCACCATCAATATGAGCCATGGTGGGAAGAGAAATCACCATATGATGGTTAAAGATTCCATCTTTATGAAGTAGGTATTGGTAAACTAATAGTTGTACCACACTAGTCTTAGACATAATCTCCATGCATAACATACCTCATTAGATTGTAGTTTCAAACATGCACGCAGCGCAGGATTCTCCAACTTTTGTATAAGTACACCGAGGCAAGGGAAACCTAGGAATGAAAACATAGTTTTAGACAACCAGCATAGTTTCCATAATAAGCTTTTTAGGAAGTTTGATTCCTAATGGGTTCAACACATGATATGCTTTCTGAAATACAATAGTGAATTAGTGATGCTCTATTTTCCAGATACATGCTAGAATTAAAAGAGCATCAGATATCACAAAACAGAAAAACACTCATGATTCATGAAGAACATATTTAGGTGGTCAAGAAATTGGTATGTAAAAGGCAATGAACACAGGATTATAAACCTCATATGACTTTTGTTAGTATAAATGTTATTGCCAAAGCTTAATTTCAAGTAAAATATAGCTTGTGACATTTTTCTGCTACTGACAGCCATAAAAAATGACATTAGAGTTTCAGACAAAACAGTAAATCCCCTCCAGAAGTATGATGCAATGCCTCCAGTTAAGGGTGTGCATGGTTGGTTATTTTTGAAAACCAAACCATAACCATTTAAATGGTTTGGATTTATAACCATAACCACATTTTAATCAAAACTGATTATATAACTGGTTATAAATTTGGTTATGGTTATTTAAAAAAAAAATCTAGTTTTAAAAAAAAAAATTATTAAATTTTGTTCTAAATAGAAAAAAAATATATATTTCTGGAATAAAAATTTCTGAAAAAAAAATATTAATTTTCAAAATTATAAAAAAAAAATTCGAAATTTTTTTTCAAATTTTTTTCTGAAATTTTGGAAAAAAAATAGAAAATTATTATTTTCTGAAAAATAAACATTTTTTTAAAAGATTTATTTATTTATTCAAAAATTAAAAAAACTTTAATTTTTTTTCACAAAATTAAAAAAAAAGTTAGGAAAATTAATTTTTTTATTTTGAAAATTAAAAAATTTATAATTGAATTAAAACATTTGGATTTTGGATGATAACCAGATTATAACCGAACCGCAAAAATTTAACTGGTTAATAACCATTTAATTATACCCGGATTATTTGAATGGATAACCATACCATTAATAACTAAACCGGTAAATAACCATTCAATTATATCCGGATATTTAAAACGGATTTGAATTTGGTTATGGATTTGGGCCTCACAAACGGAACCTCCAGTTAACAAAGTGATTCACCAAAATATTTAAGAACTTCTTACCAGTATATTTGCCATTGTTTTCGAAGTCGGTCAGAAAATGAGATACAACGGTTGTTGGAATCACATATCCAATATTCTCAGCATCTTCAGATCTGTAGACCTAGAAGCATTGTCCCTTAAGTAAATGATCCAGAATAGAAAACAATGTAATGGATTTTATATCAGTTATCACAAGACTATCTGACAAGAACCAACTCCTCGAAAAGTTTAAATTGTTTGGTGAAAAGATTTAAAGTATACTTAACATTTAACACACTTGTTCAAAAAATGGACCTTAGATACAAAAGTACACGCGCCAAGTAAGCATCAATATATCAACTACTAGAGGGCCATAAAATCTACCTGAAATGCCACTCCAATGCACTCTCCTTTGCCATTGAACGCTGGGCCTCCACTATTACCTAAATTTGAACTAGTGTGAATAATTTCTATTACACTATCACATTTCCATAAAGAATGAAGAATTTATTTCAACGTTGGGTAGCAGTAATACTATTTAGAATAAGAGAATATAGACTAGAGAAGTTTTTCACCAGAGAGGAGGTGAGACTAAAATCAAAACCACTTTTTGATATACTAACCTGGATTTATTGCTGCATCAATTTGAATGCCCAACAACTCGGAGGATCCGTGAGCATACGATGTAACCTAGTCACAATTTTTATTCAACAACTGAGAACTAAAAGCTAAAAGAAAATAACTGATTTCTCAAGAGATTAAAAGTAAAAATTCACATGCTATATATCAAACCTCTACACGAGATACAACTCCCTTTGTCACTGAAATTGTGTCTCCTCCAAGAGGATATCCCACAACCGTTACAGAATCCTTCAAGTTAGAGAAAAAATATATAAGTCAAAACCATCCGAGCAAGAGTATAGTAAAAAACTTTAAACGGGACAAATTTGTAAGTGCACAAGATGATGATGACAGAAAGAATGAGAGAATATATATTTATTACTCTGCAATGACGGCTACAAAATGTAAAAGATTGATTACAAATGACAGCTACTACTAGTCTATTTATACATAAAGTAAATTGTCACATAGGCCCTAACAAAAGCTAAAATTAATAGTTAAGCAAACTAAACTTAATAGCTACGCTAACAAAATAAACTAGAACCCAAAAGCTGAACATACTTCTGGACGCAATCTCAGAAGCTTCTGCTTCTGACTAACAACCTCAGAAGCTCTACTGCTTCTGAGCAACACTGCTTCTGAGTAATAACATCAGAAGCTTCAGATTCTAACAACAGCTTCTGAATATGAATTACTTCCAACAAAACTATCTTACAGAAACTATTTCAAATAAAGAATGGAACCTTTAGGAACGGTTTTTATGGTGTCATTAACATATTTGATAGCAGATATTGATCAAGTGATATTAATTAGCAGTTTTCTAAACACATGTGTTAGATATTACTTTTTCACCTAACATATATGGGATTTTAACCAATTTTAAATGCTTAATAGCCATGAAGAAAGTACGACTATCATCACGTACCAACAATGACACTAGAGAAGAAAACATCATTTCACCACCCTAGTTCTCTATACATCTCTCCAACACCCCTTTGAGAGTGTTCATACATCAATTATTCAGTTCACTTAGGCTTCAATAAAAACTCATCTATTCATTTCCTTAAAGAACATTGCAATGAAAAATTACCAAAGCAGGAATAGTATCATCAAACACAGATCACAGAAAATAACGGGGTGTTAAAATTCTGCTACACAACAGTGCTAAAGCACCGCCATTGGGACTGTTTTACAACAATTTGTACTAAGTGTATCGTGGAACAATAGTGATTTGTCCCAATTCCACTACGCTATAGCACTATAGCGCCGCTATTTAACAACATTGTAGGAAGCAAGCATATTCACAAAAGAAAAACAAAGCACTAATAGAGATAGTTTTAAACCTGAAGATGTGGCAAATGTCCAAATCTAAGAGGTTCAACATCTCTCCAAAACTCCTCGCTTTCTACCGAAAGCAAAGCTAAATCACAACCAACAGCTCTGGCTAAAACCTGTACATACCATCAGTGAGAATAAGGTAAATATATAGACATGTGCTAAATAATAATATCAATGTCCAAACTTTCTTGATATCCTACCATTCATTGCCTATTTTTACCCATTCGTGGGTAACATGCACTCAACAATTGATTCATTGAGAATTTAAAACATGCTATAACTTGCAATTTACCCTATAGAAATAAACATTCTCTTCTGCAATTCTTTTTACAAACTACTTTGTTATGATTTTTATCACCATAACCTTCTGGTCTCCATATACTACTGAGGATAAATGAGTTAATCGTACTCAGTTAGATATGTTAAGCAAACTGTTCTTGACACCCAAAGTTTGATAACAAAAAGTATAACGAGAAAAAAAACAACCACAGCTCCTTCCTGAGAGACATACCTTAGCCACATATTTTGAATCATCCCCTCTTCTCTTAACTTTTACCTGCAATTATCCCCAAAAAATTATACAAAATGAATCTCCTTACTTCTTTACAAATCAGACCTTAAAACTAAATGAATAGAGTATAAAGATCGAAGGTGTTAAGAATCCGTTATAAATCAATTAGTATTGATTGATATTCAATTAGTAATTAGTGTAATTGGTATTGTTTCCTATTGTATATTTTCTATTTGCATATAAATATACACCATATGTGATCATACATAGAGATACAATTACAACAAAAGGAATATCCATATAAAGTATAAAGTCTTATAGCAAGTCTTATTGGGCATGCTATTTATAGCTTATCTGCACTAATTTGTAATAAGACAACACTTAATAACACAATAAAGCCCTACCCAGTTTCCAATATCAATTATATAATAAAGACAGACACTGTGAACTGTCTTCTATGATTTTGATTTTCTTCAATCTGAACAATTATGAAATTTCTCCTAATTTTCTTCCTTCGGCTAAAAATTTCGTATACATGATTCATTTGGAAGCAACTCTCTCTAAGAACTTAAATAATTTTATATTACAAAATCTACAACATACTGAAGAAATGACAATTAAAATTACCTGGGTATCGTGCTCCACACAATGTGCGTTGGTTAATAGTTTCCTCCCTCCAATCATAAACGCACTGCATAAGGTGTGGCCTGTTAGTTTAATTTAAGAGATATTTATTCATATTTTTTTGCAGTTAAGATACTCAAAGTCTTGCCTTCCGGTGCTTGTAAATTGTCTCTGTTTTTGCCAGGGAAGTGAATAATCTGGAGCAGTATGCGTGCAGTAAACCTAAAGACGTTATGGGAACAAAGAGAAACTACGGGTAAGGACACTGAAAATGCGTATAAGATCAATTCAAATATGTAATGCAAAAATACTATAGGAAGTTAATGATAACTGAAAATGCGTATAAGATCAATTCAAATTTGTAATACAAAAATACTATATGAAGTTAATGATAACTGAAAATGCATATAAGATCAATTCAAATATGTAATACAAAAATACAATATGAAGTTAAGGATAGGGTAATTGTTCAATGTTGAAAAGAAGAAGAGATACAGTTTTAAGGCACTGTAAAAAAGTAAACCTTATGCATTATAGACAAGAGTCTATTTAACAAAAGGTTAGGTGTCAAATTCTATCATCGGGAGGTAAATGATGATAAAAAATGGGACAAACCGACAAAGACTGACAATAAATCATTTTGAACTTAAAACCTAGAGACATGCCATGAAAGCTCTATGAAGGAAAAGATCCAGCAAGAACAGAAGCACAGATGTCAGACAGAATTGAGGCATAACATAAACAACATTTTTGCATTTGGTCTCTGCAATTTGAGGTGCAACAAAATAAACAATAGTTTGTAAACAGGAATATAAAGAGCTAAACCTCACCTTCACAACAGCATTGAGGAAATCTGAGTCTTGTAAGTCACTTGATTCAACCTGAAATTAAATATAATAATTTGAAGAGACAATGAGAAGTATGCTAAGACAGCCCTATCATTTTGGCTCATGGGAGTATTTCAACTGGAATATGCATTTAATTCCTACCCTGAAAAATAAGTTTTTGTAAATTTAAAGCTGCTTATTGAGAGGTTAGAGGGGGATTTCTAAACAACCTGAGGTACATAAGTTGATTTCAACTTATAAAAGTCCAGCAAAACTTTGAATGGAAGGCCCTGACACAGGAATTGTTAGCACCTAGTATGATTCAAACCTGAGATCTTGAAAGGAGCACACTCTGAAGACTCGGGTCAATCCATGGGGTTTCACGGCCCAAAATTGCGATTTAAGTTTCCACAAAACAATTAAGAACCCTAAACCTAACTTGTTCAAGAATAGTGTTACTTGTTTCAAGGAACTACATGGCTTGAAAAGATAGCTCCTAGTTATCTCAAGGTGTATGTGTGGAGTTTGAAGAGGAGGGATGATTCCTCCTTCCAAACAAACTTCCTAAGTTGTAAAATCTCGCAATCATCAAACTCACTGCACTTTTAAATTTCCAGACAAATGCAAACTACAAATCTCATCTACCATGTTGATGCCAAAAAAAAAAAAAAGTACCTGTTGATCCTTGGAGTCTACTAAAAATTCCTTATTTTTCTTTGAAATACCAGAAGGCTTATAAAACGCAGGCACCACATTCCCTCCGGCAGGTCTTTCATCTTTGGATGATAGCTCCAACTGATTCCTCTGCCATACATCATCCTTCTGAAATTTCAATACATGACCCAAAAAAAAAAAAAAACATCATGTATCTCATTTTATCTATATTCCATTGCTAAGAGCATCTCCAGTGCAAGTATCTTGTTTGGGTGGGACTTAAATTGCCGCATAAACAACAGAAGCTAAAACAGTTAAAAGAAGAAAAGTGAAATTGGGAGGGAAAAAGTGGAAAGATAAAGCGAATGGTAAAGATTGTAATGTACCTGTCCTTTGAAATTGGGGTCAGGATTTGAAGGCGTGCGGCTGCAACGGATGGAAATGAAGGGTATGTGCGTGGTTGTGTGATTGTGAGTGTGTCTATGTGAGTACCGAAATTTGACAGTTGAGGTAGTTAGAACAGAAAACATGGAACACCAACTTGATACTGCAACTGCCATTTTCACTACACAACCAGAAGAAACAGAAAGAAACAAGAGAAATGAAAAAACAAAAACAAAAAATAAAGGCAACAGAGTATTCCTACTATTTGTAGTTGTTCTTGTTTTCTTATCCTCTTTGCTCCCTACTCCTTAACTTAGTATGTTTGAATTTTTTATTTTTTTAAACTAATATGTATTTTTATTTTTTAACTAATATGTGATTTTTTTTTTAATTCTTTAACATATTGCTTCTGACTTTTAAGATCTGTTTATATTTTTAAAAAAAATATATAAATAAGTGTTGCTGTCAAAAGTTAAACTCTAAAACGTGTTTATTTTAAATTATAAAATAATATTTTTTTTAAATTATATTGTTGAGATTATTATTTTTAGAAATAATATTTTTATGCATGTTTGACCAAATAATAAGATGTTATAATAAAAATATAAAATAAATAAATAAATAAATAAATGTGAGTATTACTAATAAGATGGTAAAGTTAGTTGAATTTTATTTTGATTCCTACCTTTTTTAACATGAAAATAACAAGAAAAATAATGAGTCAATTTTTTTTTTTAAAACTTATAACAAACTAGAGATTATTACGTTTTTAATATCATATTTCTAAAAATGTTATTTTATACAAACACGTCCTTAAGCACTAATAAACCTACATATTTTTTTGGTACAACCTACATATTTTTTATTTGAAAAAAAAAAATCCAGCATCTTCATTTTTTACAAATTTATTGTAATATTAATGATTTCTTCTCTCTCACAATTGATGTTTTTTTATAGTATTTTAATACAATTAATGATTTATTGCAATGGATCATTGCTAACATGGGGTCTTTAAAGTAAATATTAAAGGTATTATAATTTTAAAAAAATTAAATATAATAAAATTATATTTAAAGTTTTAAAAAGTTGAATCTAGCATTTCAAAAAAATATTATTACAAATAATTTTTAATACGTGTCCTTTAAAGACACATGTTAATATTTTCCTGTTACAATTAATAATTTCTTCTTTATTTTAGAATATCTAATTTATTAAATTAAATATTAATAAAAATACAGAAAAAACAGATTTTAATATTTTATATGAAAGTTAAAATATATTATTATCATTGATATCAATTTTAAATTAAACTATTTTTTAAAATTAAATTAAACTATTTACTAGTAAAGAGAGTTTAAATTAATTGTATATTATTTTTATAAATAAATATATTAGCGGAACCGTAAATTAATGGTGAATCGTGATTGTAGAGGATTACGATGGACACGAGTTTCTAATGCGGTTGAGAGGGGTCTGACATGTAAGATTAGCACTTTAATATTCAAGTCAGTATGTGAGGGAGAAAAGTGAATGTAAATTGAATTTGAAATTGTGTATCTGAAGTCTTCGTGTCTTTTCTTTATATAGTAAGGTGGTTATAACAAACTGTTATTTGTTAGACGAGTGATGTGGAGAGCTGTTGGATCTATATGGGACATGGATCACCTTTACTTGTATGAAGGGTAGCTCTCTTGTGTTGAGAAGATTATGGAAAAATCGCAACCTCGTCGGAGTAGTCGGTCTGAAATAATTTCCCCTCAAGCCCTTGTTCTTACGTGTGCAAGGGTTTGTCGTATTTGCCTCGCCTGTCGATCACTCATTCAGCTGCTTTGGAAGGTCAAGATGATACATTTTTGTTTTTTGGGAATTCGCACATTTAATGCAGCCATGCTTCTAATGTCTTTTCGGAGGTGTCCGTATTATGACCCTTAGAAATTAGAACACTTAAGTGTTGCATGTAAGTGACTTGAAACGTTAATAGGGTTTAGTATACCATCACCTGATTTTTGAAGAGTCATTTTTCCCATTTATTTAAAGCGTCCTTCCAATTTCGTTGTGCCTGTCAAAAATCGTGTACTCCATGAGTTAAAAGTCAAAGAAAGATGTTTGAGTTTCATGGGTGAATTCTATTTATTTTTAAACTTAGACATAATAGCCACTTCACTACATAATTTAAATAACGATAATAAAATTCAAGTCTCCAAAATCAAATGCATTCATTTAATCAGCTTAGGTATAAAAGCCAATACACTACATGATTTAAATAACGATGATAAAACAATGTAAAGTATATAATGTATCTCTCAAAAATATGAATCCAAGCGTTTCTCCAATGTTATATGACCAGAGCATGACTCAACTCAAAATAAATACAAAAATAAAACAAAGATAGATTCTTCAGCTTCACTCTTGCCAAAGCAGCTCTAATCTTCATTACCTGAGCGATATCATATAAAACATCATTCCAACATAAGGGTGAAAATTCACATAATTATTGAAGTCATATAACAACATATAATATATAGCATTCATGTATAAAAATAACATTCTCACACTTCATATGTCTAAAAACATAACATCACTCAATTTCTCATATTATTCGCAAGTATTCATTCATCATTCATCATTCACAATTTCACAAAATACAACAATCCCACATAGTTCACATAATTCCATATTGCAAACATACACCGATATGACTCAATGTAACTCAAATACAATACTCATGCATGTGGTACCAATCACTTGTTATTTTTGTTTGGTTTTTACTTTAAACGAGTTTCGTCCTCTAGATCAATAACACACTAAAAAGCATGTCCTCTAAACTTTCAAACTTCTCTCTAGATTTGGGATAAGTCACTAGCTCTCATGGAACTAACAATCATGTCTCTTGACAACAAGTAATGCATGTGCAATTACAACAACCATATGCAAATTAAGACCATTCTCTAATCTTAACAGCCATGCATATCTTCAAATAATCCATCACACTTTAATTATCACACACTTGCACATATATACACATACTCGTGAATTATCTCACATTCATAACAGAATCATGTCAAACCATCACCATAACACACAACAAGTAATACCAAGTATCATCACAAACCAACATATATTCATAAAACACATATAGCCATAAAAACAAGTTTCATGTCATTAACAAATAGCATTAAAAAACCATTCAAACATGTCAGTTAAATTCCAGAAAATTAATTAGAAATTAGCATAAAATATAATCATACATAATTCCAAATTTTTTTAACAAAATAAGTATTTTTCAACTCCCAACAACCCACGCTAAGCGAGCAACCTCTTAGTCCACTATGTGATTTCTCCAAAAAAACATGTGATGACAACACAGTCTCAACACGATTCTTCCCTACAAAACATATTCTAACATCAAATTTTATCATGATTTAAGATATTATAACCTATATCTAACATGTATTTTCAATTAGAAACATCAAAACACAACCAATCATCCAATTCATGGATTATCAATCAAAACCTAACATTAACAAACCATGGACATTTAAGAATTTCTTCCTAAACATATTTCTACCCATCATATATCATCATACAATCCCAATAACTATGTAAAAACCCACACTTACCTTGATTGCGATAAACTCTTTGAATCTTCTTCTTAGGATTCTCTTCTCTTTCTCCTTTTCTCTTTTTCTCTACTTTAGCCTCTTTTCTCCCTATTCTCTTACTAACTTCTATTTTCCTCTTTTTATTAAACTAATACAATAATACCAACTAAAGTAACCACTAATGAGCTTACTAACACAACCCCCACATTACTCTTCTCCTTCTCACCCAATAGGCACAATCACCAATATTCTATCATTTTTCATATAATCATTACTAATAATATAATTATTTACTAACCGACACCAAAACTAACTATAATTCTACGATTATCCATATTTACCTGACCAACTCGTCACATAACACAATTATCAATTAATCATTTATTCACAAAATCAAACAAATAATTAATTAATATAATTACATAAATAATTACTAATATTAGGGTGTTACAACTCTCCTCCACTTAAAAGATTTTCGCCCTCGAAAAATACCTTAAAGGAACAAATCAGGATAAGACTCCCTCATCTAACTCTCGAGCTCCCAAGTCACGTTTCCATTTTCTGGTCCTCCCCAAGCTACTTTCACTAAAGCAATCTCTTTATCTCGAATTTTCTTCAACTCTCGATCCTCTATCTGCATAGGTGATGTCTCCATAGTCAGGTTATCTCTCACCTGCACATCATCTACTTGGACCATATGAGACGAATTCATAATATATTTCCTCAGTTGAGATACATGGAACATATTATAGAGATTAGAAAGCGATAGTGGCAAAGTAATCTGATAGGCCACCTGTGATACGGTGGGAGAACTGACTTGAGGGTTTTGCGTTTGATCGCAAATGTTGCAGTTAGCAAGAGTCGCCACCGACTTTTCTTTTATCCAAAAGGAAAGGTGAAAAAGCACAAAAAAAACCTTTGTGATTGTTTCTTGAGTTCGGGGGGGGGGGGGGGGTAGATTATGAAAAGGGAAGGTATTAGCACCCTTTCCATCCATGGTTTTCCATGGGCTCTTAGTTACTTTCTAGATCACTTGCTTTTGTTTGAGATTGTGCTTTGTGTGGTTTTTTGAAAGTATTTTGAAAAGGCGTCATCTTTTAGGCAAACTTTGTAATGATTCTAGTTCGTAAGAATGTATACAAAGTGTTGATCTTTTAAAAAATGTTTTCAAGTTTGAAAGGTGTTTTTGAAGGTGTAGATGATTTATTTTTGAAAATAGAAAGGATGTTTGTTTGAAATGGAGCAAGTAATTAGGAGAAATCTACCTACTCAAATGTCTTTCTTGTTCATTTTCTTTTCCTTTGACATTGTTGTCTTACCATTGATTTGGTAAGCAACCCTATTTTTGGATGTAAGCGGGACGAACATGGGTCATCGTATAGCCATGATTATCAATGTTGTGAGGTATCTTAGCATTTATTTTTGAGGGACTAAGATCATTTTGAAAGGCAACATTTATAGCATCATCGAGGGACTATGATCTTGTATTTCGATTGTTTTTGCTAAGACATCCCACATGCATAACATGACCATTTTTTAGGCAATAAGTGGAGTTAACCTTAAGGGGGCTAGTG